AAAAAAAAAAGAAAGAAAACAAAAAAAAAAAGTGAAGGACGCTCTCAGCACCACTACTACTATTACTATTACTATCATCAAGAACAACAACAACAATATGAAGAAAAAAAAAGAAGGAAAAGAATAAAAAAAATTTTCTTTTTATATTTCCTTCGGTTCAAACAACTCAATCAGTTGACTGCGGCAAACAGGACATGTGTTTACAGAAGAGGCACACAGTCGGCAAAGTACTTTATGACGGCATGGAAGTGAAATAACAGTTGGCACGTGATCCATACAAACAACGCAGTTTTCCTGTTTACTGGAAATAGCCTCACGCACATGTTCAAGATATTCAATCATATCACGTTCTGTTAGCCGTAGTTGTGGTAATTTTAATTCATTAATATTCTTTGGAAATAAAACATTGCGTTGACTCATTTTATTAATAAGATCCTGCCGTACTTGATGATGTGTGGGTAAATCAAAATCTTTTTCCCCTGCATTCATATCCGCATTTACGCCCATACCTGCAGAGGCTGGACGTGGGGATGGAGTTCCATTAAAAGGTTTAAACGCCAAATGTCCACCATTAATAGTCGCCATACTGACATTATTGTTATTATTATTATTATTATTATTATTATTATTATTACTATGATGATGGTGAATTCCTGCGTTAGGTGTGAGAACCGTACCCTGTCGTGTAAATCGCGCTAATCCACCCATCCCATTATTATTATTATTATTATTATTATTATTATCGCCTCCTCCTCCTCCTCCCATCATATCTCCATACGCTGAGAGAAATCCACCTGACTCTGAAAGAAAATTCCCATTATTATTATTATTATTATTATTATTATTATTATTATGGCGACCAGGCGGTAGATCTCTCGTGGGATCTGCGGTTCCCCCTGGTGGGATCACCAACGAAACGGATGGTCGTCTGTTCATACTTTGACTCACTTGACTCGCCCGTCGCTGTCGAGCTCCGTGTGCATGCCGTACATTTCCCACTACACTACGCAGCCGCTCCGCCACAGCCGCCAACTCCTGTTGTTGTGGAATTCCTAATCCAACACTCATCTCAACATTCTCATTCCCAGCAGCACTATTCATATGAGGATGTGGACTAATATAACCAAAGGGTTGCATCATTTCTATCCAACGCACAAACTCGGCATCTGTCATGGTGGAGTTACTCACACTGTTTAATTGATACTGGGTCCCATTAATACTCGCAAGATGCGGGGGAAGTACCAACACCAAATATTTATCCGTGCGGACACTTGTGTTGGTGGAGAATCCACCATAGAAGTCTCCAGTCACAATACCCCCAACACGAGCGATAATATAATCTTCACGATGATCAAAGAGCTCTAAAAGAACACGAATAAATGTACCAAGTAAGACATTGGGATTATTGGATGACATGATAATATTAACAGCCTCATTACGCGTCACTTGTGCTTGTTTGGCTACTTGAAATAACTGCTGATGTTCTTCAGGGATCATTGCAGTAATGAGCAGAAACACTCAAAACACAGACCCACAGAGGGAAAACGAGTAAATAATAATAATAATAATAATAATAGTAATAGTAACAAGAGTAAAAACAAAAAAAAAAAAGGACTATCTACTCTTCTATTGAATATTGGTAATGATAATTTATAATGATGCTATTAACAATGATAATAATAAACTAGACTAATAGTAATAAACTAACAGCAATCAAGAAATACCCCAAATAGAAATCCTTTTTCTTCTTCTTTTTTTTTTTCTTCCCCTACTTCTCCAAGTAATGCCCTATAAAAAAAAACAAAAACACCTTTGTTATAACCGTAAATAAGCTAAGATAAAACAGGTATAAGAGTATAAAGTATTTCAGTATGTTTCTATCTATATACCTTCTTTACTTGTTCTCTTACTTTCTCTTGTTCTTTCTTCTTTTTGTGTATCTGTGTTTTTTTATTCTGTCGAATGTGTACTCACTACTATCAATCCTCTTAACGATTTCAATCTGTTTTTTTCTTCTTTTCTTTTCTTACTTTCTTTTTCTGCTTTTTGCTTTTTTCTTTTCGTTCTTTTTCTTTTTTCGCTCCCTTGCTTTTTGTTTTTATATTTTGGTTGCTCCTCACAGTTTGTTTCTATAGGTTTCTTCCCTATACCATTCTACCCATAGAGAGAAAGAAAGAGAAGAAAGAAAGAAAGAGTGGAAGACACATGATAAGTACAAACAAACCAAAATCACCTCAGATACTATATATATATATATACAAAGTGTTTTTTTTTTTTTTGTATTTGTTCTTGTATATGCAGACACACACAGGAAAAAAAAAAGAAAAAAAGAAATGAAACAGTACACATATATATAACTCTTCGCCAGCCTCTCTGCTTTGACCAACGTTCAACTAATAAAACAAAAACTGTAAATAACAGGTAATAGTAAAAATAAACAATTCTGTCAATCTACAGTCTACTGTACATGTCATAAAAACAAGAAAAAAAAAAACAGCTTAGGGAGGCAGTGACAAGAACATCACTTCTCCTCAACAGAAAGAAAAGAAAAAAAAAAAAAGAAAAAAATTGTTGGAAAGAGAGATACACAGACACACAGAGAAATATATAAGAAAGAAGTATATATATAAATATATAAATATATATATATATTATATAGAATAAACAAGACTCCATTACTCTCCTCCCTATACAAAAGCTCTTCCTACTCTTCCAGACGCATAGTTGACGTTCCCCATCCAGGATCAGTTGCAGAAGCCTGCTTTACAAGTGATACTGAAAGTCTCGGCTGTTTCCTTCGCACACCAGGCGTTTCTTCTACAAACAATGGTAGAAAAATTCTCTCCGATGGTGTTATTAAAGGCACACGTAATCGTCTAGCACTGGTATTAATCGCTGCAAGACCCTCACCGTTTGGTCCAATTGTCTGTGCATTTAAAAAACGATGAATATTTTCTGGTAAACTTGTGTTGTGAGTACCCACGGTGGTTTCTTTTCCAACCACTTCTGATACATCACTGAGAACTCCTTTCCGGTGTCTTGACTTCTGCACCAACACCTGCACTCTTGGTGGAGTAATGCTGGCAACTGTTCGTGTTGTTCGCCAAGGAGTGACTGGCACAGTTGTTGGACGCTGGGGAATGACAACACTGGACTTGCTTTGAATAATATTATGTCGAACACTACTACTACTACTACTAGCATGATGATGATGATGATAATGATTATTATAAAATTTATTGGGGATTTTTTTATCATATTGTAATCGTTCATCTGCACTGGTTTCTTCTGTGCTTAACGGTGCGGCGATGCCAATAGCGGTTGCGGTTGAACCAGGAGGTGGTGAAGATGGTGGAAGTAAAGAAGACGCACGGGAATTTGTTTGTGGAATTGCCGTATGAGTTTGTGCTGTAGTAGTAGTAGTAGTAGTAGTAGTAGTAGTAGTAGTAGTAGTAGTAGTAGTAGTGGTCTCTGTAGTGTGATCGGTGTTAGTCTGCTGAGGACGTAGTCTTCCTGTGACAAAGCGATTCTGCACGGCGAAGGCGTTAAGAGATGGATTGACACCTTCCAACATGAGAAAATAGGAAGAGGGATATTTCATAGATTGCGTAATTGGACGGCGAGGGACATATGCAGCGTCAGTGAGCATTGCCTCTAATTCCACCATCGCCTCTCGTTCTGCAGCGGTGTGGGCAGTCACTTCCGATGGTGATAATCTACCTGATGGTGAGAGTTGCATGAACACAGATGCAGGAGATGTTGAAGGTGATGAAGATAATGATAAAGGTGATGATTGCGGTGATGATGGAGAGGGATTTGAAGTGGCAGAGGAAGAAGAGTCAGTATTAGTACTCATAGTCGTAGTAGAGGAGGTATTCATATTAATATTGGCAATAGTCGTAGTCATAGTAGTAGTAGTAGTAGTTGCACTGGCTCTATTCATACCAGCAACAGTACTGGGAGTAGAAGTAGAATGTGTACTAGTAGTAGTGGCAGTTTTCATCATTGTTGATTTGGGTGGTGGAAAGCCATGGAGTTGATATGTATAGTGACTAATACCATCCACCACACCGGATCCAATAACGCTGGTGTGATAAGCTGCACGTAAAATCTCAGACTCTTTCGTAGGCCGTGCCAATCGTCGTTCAAATCGTTCTAGAAAGACTTGTTGAACTCCAATAACACTACCAGGACGACAGAGACGAATCCAACCAATACTCTCTCGTGCTGTAAATCCATAGTGTTGCATCATATATACACATATAAGTGTTCCTGTTCTACCTAAACCAGCTCGACAATGTACAGCAATGGCACTAGAACCATTCGTTTTCTTTCCAGCAGAGTGTTGGGCACGTAATAATTTTTTTTGATTTTCCCTCTTTTTTTCCTCATTCTTTGTTCCCTGCCATAGTGGCGGTGGGGGTAATAAAACCGGTTCTACAGCCCACATAAAACGATTAATAATATCATCATTTGGGGCAGTTCCATCTGGAAATTCCAAATCCACATGTTGAATACCATTAGCCAGAAAAGTTTCTCGTTTATAAAGTGGTTCATTCAATCGAACAACATGTGTTACGCGTAATTCTTGAAATAACTTTGCATACATTTCTACTGATCGTTTACGACCACTATTGATAGGTGATGAAAAGGCCATCATAGTGTTAGGTACAACCCAATTACAATTATATTGACGTAATCTCTCATAGGCATCCACATCAAAGGTACGAACATCATACCATTGTAAATCAATTGCCTTTTCAAGACCTGAAATAACATCTAAGAGTGTTAATGGAAAAGTAGAGACACCATAACTCGCATCCCGAAAAGGAACAGTTGGGGGATAGGCGTGTTGAAAAATACCCCATGTTTTAGAGGCAGACCAACGTAATGTAGATACACAGAAACATGCTAGTCCACATGCCGCATTAGCACGTTCATGATTTTGTAATCCACTACAAAAAACAACAGGAATAGGACGTAAAGATGATGAATCCTCATCACTTCTTAAACCTTTCTTTTCCACTCCTTTAAGATGTCTATATCGTGGACCAAATACAGGCGTGCCATGACTATCTACATCCCATTCATATCCAGCACAGTACTCTAGTAAACTCTGTAAACATCGCGATAAACGAGTAACACAACTAATATCCAATGGACCAAAGTCTGCAAAAAAAGAATGATACTGAAATGCTTTACTTTCACCCACAGAAAAATAAAATACATCACTATCAAGAACACCACCGCAATCTTTATCATTATTAGTATCTGCAAGTAATTTTCGCATTAACAATAAAGCTTGAGCGACGTTTGAACGTGCTCTTCGTAAATTCTTTGAAGAAGTTGCCCTTTCTTGAGATATTCCACTTTTTTCTCTTCGTCTCGGCGATGATTGTCTTCTACGATGAGCAAAAGAGGGCATACTACTCATAGATGCCTCCAATGCGGCATTAGCGGCGGCGGCCTCAATGCGATCTTCCTGTTGAATACGCTGAGAGAGTGGACGAACCGCAGATGAGTGAGAGGCGGAGGCCACCGTCTCTGCAATGGACTGCAGCCGCTCGCCCAGAGACGCAAAGTACAAAACCCCCGGGATGATCTCAAGTGCCTGTTGAGTCTCCAGAAGTTTCTGCAGGGATAACGGCATCGCCTCTTCAACGGAAGTTTAAATTAACACCGCCCACCAACACACACACACACTCCTTTACACCACCACTCCTGCTGCTGTTGTTCTTGTTGTTGTGGTTGTCGCTCCTCCTCCACTCTTAATTAGTATTCATGGAGAGAAAAATAAAATGATATGAATAAGAGTAAATAGAGAGAAAAAGAAAATGGAAGAAGAAGAAGAAGAAAATCAAATTAAAGAAACAAACAAACAAGAGACATCATATATATATATATATATATATATATATATATAAACAACTTACAATTACACTAACTAGGAGTTATAACACTTCTTGTTATTACCGCATCGAGTCAGAATTTCAGTAAGTAGTTTACTTTTTTTCTTTCTGTCTTACACATAGCGTTTTCTCAAAAGTTTTGTTTTCCTGAATTGTGTCTATCCCTCTCCTATAGACTCATATTCACATACAAAGTTTTTTCTGAAATAATGTTTCTTTCTTTTCTCCAGTCCCAAACTTTTATTCCTTCTCCATTTTTTTTTCTTTCTTTCTTTCTTTGCCTGTTCCCTTTGCTTTCACCACAACGCCCTCACCCAAAGACACTCTTCAAAAAGATTCATTTGTGGTTGGTTGCGGCATTTCAATGCAGTTGTACTGGTGAAACAAAAGCGAAGGCCTCACGTAAACAGCATTTATCAGCAAAAGAAGTAAAAAAGGAAAAAAAAAAAACAGTTACACACACACACAAACACACACAAATATATATATATATAAAGACCAAGACATACGTCCCATATATTCCTATACAGTACAATCTCTATATGTCCCGTCTCCGTGTGATACACTAAAGGTGTGAGTATAACGTACAAAGCGTAATAAGGTTAAAAAGGGTTTACGAAAAATGTAGAAAAAAAAAAGTGTGGGGAGACTTCACAGAAATGAAGTTAAGAATAAGGAAAAATAAAAAAAAAAGAAAAGAAAAAAAAAAGAAACATCTATTATGTGAATTCACAGGAAAAAAAGACAAATTGTAGTGAAATAGTTTGTGAAAAAAAAGCACTAGCTCTCCTTTCCCCCCCAGACCTTATCAATGCGTCTATTGATGTAAAAAAAAAGAAAAGAAAAATAATTGAAAGGTTGGGGGATCCGTAACGGTAATAAAGAAAAACAAACAATAGAGATTTCTGAAATAAGATTACAACTAACAATTCTACATACATACATACATTTCTCTCTCTCTCCTTCTTCCCTCTCAACGTTCGTCAGTCTCTCTCTTGTAATTTTTCTTCGTTTTCTCATTCCCGTACCACGGATACCACCCTGAGACTCTAGAAATGCCCTCCGGTACAAGGCTGCTGTACGCCAGAATAACATAACAGCAGATAAAATAGATAAGTAAATAAAACAGCGGTAATACTAACAATAACAGTTACAATAACCGTAAGGAGAAAAAAGAAAAAAAAAAAACAATCAGTCAACCGGAATAAAGCAACAAAATCAATGAATAAACACACACAAATATATATGTGTATTTATCTTGTGTAATCTAATTATTTGTCCCTCGCATCGACACGTATACAAAGAGTGAAAAAACGTAACAAAAACAACAACAACAACAACATCAGAGTACGTCTTTTTCACCTGATTACGTAGAATTATTCTCTTTTTTCTTTTTAGAGAACGGTGAAATTGCATACTTTAACAGAAAAAAACAACAACCACATAGTAGTGACATATCAACTGTATCCTACACATTACTTATATAAACACAAGACCAAGAATTTTGTTTTTTCCACTCCCTTTCCCTCTATATTCCCCCACCAACACTATCCCAATTTCTTTTATCTCTCTCCATCTCTCCCTCCTCACACACAAAAAGGGCCAATACTTTCACATTACATGAGGGGTGTGGGGCGCAGATTTGGACGGTTGTCGGGGTAATTGGGGTGCTGGCGGGCCTCCGGGTAGTACTTCAGCACATATGGGTGCACCGTCATCTGCCGCGCCGTCAACCGCTTCTGGCGGTCGTAGTGCAGCAGGCCGTAGATGAGATCGCAGAGCAGCGGCTCCCCAATGATGTCCCGCACCGCCCGTGCCCGTGCAATGCGGGCGAGATGCTTCGGGTCTGTGCATGGCCGCAGCTGCCCGGCGGAGTTGTACAGCATTCGCGCCTCCTCCGTGCCGCAGCGGCCGGCCCACTCCGACGGCAGGCGGCCGAGTGTCTTCTCCATCAGGTGCAGGTGCTCGAGGTTGTCGTGGGTGTCGTACAGCAGCTTGCCGGTGTGCAGCTCGTAGATGATGCAGCCCATGGACCACATGTCGGTGGAGTACATCCAGCCGAGGCCGAGCACCACCTCCGGGCTGCGGTAGTGCCGCGTGGAGACAATCGCCGTGCGGCTGTGGCGCTCATCGCAGCAGCCGCCGAGATCGCAGATGCGAATGCGGCACGGGTCTGGCGGCGTCGTCTTGCGGGTGACGGGGTCGACGGCGGCGTCGCCGGTCTCGAGCAGCATGTTCTCCGGCTTGAGGTCCGTGTGCATGAGGCGCAGCTCCGTGTGGAAGTAGTCGAGCGCGGTGCCCGCCTGGAAGATGATCTGCGCCAGGTGGCGGTGGCTGAAGGCGCCGTGCTTCATGATCCAGTCGAGCAGGCACGGGCCGTACTTGGGCATCACAATGCACATGTGGCCCGTCTCGTTCTGGAAGTAGCGCTGGATCTTCATCAGCGGGAAGCGGTCGGCGGCGTCCGCCTGGCGCACCTTCTCCATGAACTGAATCTCAATCTTCGCATCGCGGGTGTACTTGGGCACATTGCGCACAATCTTCACAGCACAGTACTCCTTCCGCTTGCGGTCCCACGCCTCCACCACCTTACCAAAGGTTCCCTCACCCAGAAGAGAGAGAATCTTAAATCGCTGCGTGGATACATCAATATCTTCACCAAGAACAACGTAAAAGTGACCCTCTTCTCGACTTTGGTTTGGAAGAATATAGGTGAGTTTAGGCTTTTGCCGAACAGGTGCCGCTGTTTTTTCTGTATTATCTACAGCTTTTACAGCACCTGAATCAGTTGCTACTTGATTTGTGCCTGCTATTGGGGGTTTCGGTGGTTGTGTCCGACCCACATCTGTAGAGATAGCTGTATCATGATCACGTTTACTCCCAGAGCGGCGTGGAATTTGTTGTTCTTCCATACGTGGTCGGCATGTGTATGCTTGCTGCTGCTGCTTTTGAATAAAACTTGTCGATACAGCGTCGGCGGCAGCGGCGGCCGGCTTTTTTGTACCTCCCGAGGTGTAGTGATAATAGACATTGTCATTCATATTGGATGCAGGAGTAAGATAAGGTTTTGTTAAAGGTGCAGCTGACTGTGTAGTCGTTGATGTCATAAAGAGCTCAATGTGACTACAATCCAAAAGGGTTGTAGATTTTTTAATATTTACTCCTATTAGCTTTTGTTTCTCCTTCCTTTACTAGCTCCTTGTATAGTCGTTGTTGTTTCTTTTCTTTTTTCCGTGTGAAGCTAAGTATGCAATTTCCCTTGTTATTATTAGTATCTGCTGTTCAACTTATCTGTATTTCGCTCGTCGTTACGCACGTGCGCGGTTTGTGGGATTTTCTCGGTACGGAGAAGTGCTAAAGAAGAGTGAAAAAGTAGTTTATGAAAAAGAAAAGAAAAGAAAAGAAATATATATTCGTCCAGCAGGAAGAAAGAGCAAAAAAAAAAAACAAGAACAGTAGTGGAACCCTTATGATAGAAATAGAGTGACGGATAGTCAATATACCCTCTTTTTTTTTTCAGTTTCACTCGTAAATTCACAAACAAAAAAAGACACAGATACGTCTATAACAATATATATTATATACGTATTTACTCAGTCACAAGCATACAGTTTTTCTTTTTTTTTTTTCAACTTTCTTCTATTTCAATTTTTTTTTTTTTCACCTTCTGTTTCTCTTGGTGTATCTTTCCTTCACTCCTTCTTCCATTCCTATTCTTTTTTTTTTTCTTCGCCTTATTCACTTTACATGCTTTTGCCCTCTTCAGCATTGTTCAGGAGAATATCGACAGAGTTACTGGCATTCTTCCATAGTTTAGCATTCATACACGAGAGAAAACAGAAATAATAATAATAATAATAATAATAATAATAATAATAATAATAATAAATAATCCCTTCTTTCCTCTTTCTTTTTTCCTTTCCGGTCCCTTTTTTTTTGCTTTAACCAAGAACCAAGAAACACAGAAACGTGAGTCTACGTATGATAAACGGAAGGAGATGATAATAAAGGAAGAAGACGACAAAATACAAAAAAAAACAAACAAACAAACAAACAAAAAAAAGAAAAAAAAGTAGTAATATCTAATGGAACAGTAGTAAAACAAAAAAAAAAAAAACAGTACATAAAAGCAAATAATAATAATAATAATAATAATAATAATAATAATAACACCAACAACAATAACAAGGAAATATACCTATAGATGCATACATTTTTCCTCTTTTACTTTTTTCCCTCTCTTTTCTTTTTCTACACATCCTCCTCCCTCCTCTTCCTTGTGTACAGTTCTCTTTTTTTTTCCTTTTTTTCCTCTTCTCTTATTCACCTTTTCCCTTTCTCTCTTATGATCATCATTTCTCTCTTTTTCTCCCTTCCCTTTTTTTTTTCTCTCTCTCTCTCTGCAACACATACAAGTATCCCAGCACCGGCAGGAGTAATGGTGATAGAAATTAAGTAAAAACAACAACAAAAAGAAAGAAAGAAATAAAAAGATATGAAGAGTCAAACAAGAGACCCCAAAAGGAGAAAAGAAAATAAAAATACTCAAAAGAAAAGTGGGTGGTGGCTCCAGTTGTTGCTGGCAATGACATTGGGGAGTTAATAGGGATTGCATCTAAACACAACAACAAACAGTATTAGAGAAGTACACATACACACATACAGAGTAAAAGAGGGGGGAAAAAAAAGATAACGAACGAGAAATGAAATGGATAAAATAAAGAACAGAAAAAAAAAAAGAAAAAAGGAACACGTGTGTTCCCCAGTCCTCTCTCTCTTTTTTCATCTTATCATTTCTTTTTTCTTTTTTTTGTTTCATCATCTAACTTTATCCTCGTTTGTATTTCCGTATAGTTGTGCAAGGAAATAAGAGAAAAAAAACGATAGTTTTCATTCACTTCATCAAAAAAGGCAAGTCATTCTCTGATACTGTTGTCGATGTTAAAGGGGTGAAGGTAATCATAATAGGTACAGAAAACATTAAAATATTTGGAACAAAAAAAAAAAAAAACTCTAGAGATTCTACAAATGGAAAAAAAACACCATAAAAGCACATAAATAAAAAAAAAAAACACAGACCCATCTTCAAGTAGAATCCCAAAACAATAAAGATCTACTTTATGGAACAAAAAAATGACTCTGCAAAAATACATACTCCGTACGGCTCTTCTGCCCACTCTCAGTTAACATTCACATAATACATCAACATCCTATTGTATATATATATATACACATATATATATTGAAGGTGTTTCTCTATGCATGATCCAATACAAGGACAAACGTATGTACATTCATTTATTATATGACTACGTACGTATAGAGAAGAGGTGCGTGAGTGTACGGAGGGGTTAAAAGAAAAAAAAAATAGACCAAAAACAGTGACGGTAAAAGAAAAAAAAAAATGAGGTAAAGATCTCTCACCTGTCTTCTTTCCTCCACCACCCCATTTTCTATTTATTTATTTATCTATCTCTCTTCTCTGTTTGACTCCCGGAATATCAGAAAAAAACGGGTATCAACAGAGACAAACCAGGCGGAAAGAAAAAGTAATAAAAAAACCATAGAACCTATTTATCAATCCCATGTTCTCTTATTCCCTCATCTTTTTCAGTCCTGATTTTTTTACTCTTTTATCTGTTATACGTGCTTCTCCTTTTATTCCTTCGTTCATGAAAAACACGGTTCATTTTCTTCACTTTTCTCTTAGTTTTTTTTTTTTTTTCACCGTTTTCTCACGTTATTTTAACTTATCATATAATACTCTGAAGAACCCTAACGTCCCTCATATAAACGGAAAACACAGAAAGAAATATCTGAATACAAGATCAGTTAGAAAAGTCCGTACAAAACAAAAATAACAAAAAAAAAAAATGGTACAAATAAAGAAGAAAGAACAACAAATAAAAACATACGTACAGTTCAGCGAAAAACAACGCATATCTTACAGGTCCAACAACCCCTCAAAGCTTTGTGAAAACTGTAGACTCCCCCAACATCTTAAACTGGATGCTGCAGATAGCAAAAAAGGAAACAATCCACAGAAAACAAAGTATAAGAGTTAAAACGGTTTCTTTGACAACACAATACAAGGTTTTTTTTTTTTGTTTTGTTTTCCCTCTTTCTCTCCCTTTCCCTCTATATTCCCCCACCAACACTATCCCAATTTCTTTTATCTCTCTCCATCTCTCCCTCCTCACACACAAAAAGGGCCAATACTTTCACATTACATGAGGGGTGTGGGGCGCAGATTTGGACGGTTGTCGGGGTAATTGGGGTGCTGGCGGGCCTCCGGGTAGTACTTCAGCACATATGGGTGCACCGTCATCTGCCGCGCCGTCAACCGCTTCTGGCGGTCGTAGTGCAGCAGGCCGTAGATGAGATCGCAGAGCAGCGGCTCCCCAATGATGTCCCGCACCGCCCGTGCCCGTGCAATGCGGGCGAGATGCTTCGGGTCTGTGCATGGCCGCAGCTGCCCGGCGGAGTTGTACAGCATTCGCGCCTCCTCCGTGCCGCAGCGGCCGGCCCACTCCGACGGCAGGCGGCCGAGTGTCTTCTCCATCAGGTGCAGGTGCTCGAGGTTGTCGTGGGTGTCGTACAGCAGCTTGCCGGTGTGCAGCTCGTAGATGATGCAGCCCATGGACCACATGTCGGTGGAGTACATCCAGCCGAGGCCGAGCACCACCTCCGGGCTGCGGTAGTGCCGCGTGGAGACAATCGCCGTGCGGCTGTGGCGCTCATCGCAGCAGCCGCCGAGATCGCAGATGCGAATGCGGCACGGGTCTGGCGGCGTCGTCTTGCGGGTGACGGGGTCGACGGCGGCGTCGCCGGTCTCGAGCAGCATGTTCTCCGGCTTGAGGTCCGTGTGCATGAGGCGCAGCTCCGTGTGGAAGTAGTCGAGCGCGGTGCCCGCCTGGAAGATGATCTGCGCCAGGTGGCGGTGGCTGAAGGCGCCGTGCTTCATGATCCAGTCGAGCAGGCACGGGCCGTACTTGGGCATCACAATGCACATGTGGCCCGTCTCGTTCTGGAAGTAGCGCTGGATCTTCATCAGCGGGAAGCGGTCGGCGGCGTCCGCCTGGCGCACCTTCTCCATGAACTGAATCTCAATCTTCGCATCGCGGGTGTACTTGGGCACATTGCGCACAATCTTCACAGCACAGTACTCCTTCCGCTTGCGGTCCCACGCCTCCACCACCTTACCAAAGGTTCCCTCACCCAGAAGAGAGAGAATCTTAAATCGCTGCGTGGATACATCAATATCTTCACCAAGAACAACGTAAAAATGTCCCTCTTCTCGACTCTGATGTGGAAGGGCGTATGTCACCTTCTTCTTTTTTTGTGGTGGTTGTACCTCTATGACGCGATTCGCCCCGGAAGAGGTTTGATTCACGTTATTGTTGGCACTAGATGATGTGGCATTCGTGTTGGCAGCATCTCTTGTTTGTTGTGTCCGACCCACATCTGTAGAGATAGCTGTATCATGATCACGTTTACTCCCAGAGCGGCGGGCGCTATTTGTGGACTGACTTGTTGTCATTGTAGAACGTGCACTGTTGAGGGCTTTGGCGTTACTTCCTGCGGCCACATTAGCCAGTCCGGCCGTGTACTGAAGAAGACCACTTCGAGTAGTATTTGTATTGTTTGCTATGTTGTCCATAGGATTCTGTTCCGTTTTCTCTGATTGTGTTTATCGTTGTTTTATATATATATATACGTATGTAGATGTGTTTCTCTAACTTATGCTTTTTTGTGATGGACGGAAAAAGCGATAACTCTAATAAACAATAAGAGGAAAAGTGAAAATGGTAGGAGTAATATCTTTTTTTTTTTGTACTCTTTGTATTCTTTTTTTTTTGTGTTTCTACTTCTTTCTCTCTAGTTTTTTCCTTTCTCCTCCTTCTGTTTTTGTTTAAATTGCTCTTCCTTTTTTTTTTTTTTTTACCTTATTTCTTGTTCTCTCTTACTATCTTTCTCACTCTAATACAAAGACGAGGCTTTGTGTTCTGCTTATGAGTGAGAACGTGAAGGGATGTACTTTTTTAGCTTCTGCGCTTTATTTGTGTGTGTGTGTGGGGGTAGCACAATTTCCCGCCTCTACAATCAGAAAAGAAAAATATGAAAACAAATAAAAAGAAAATAAAGAAAAAAAAGGGAAATTAAAAAAGAAAGAAAACAAACAAAGAAAAAAAAATTTCAAACCTCATATATATATATATAGATACGGGTGCCACGAACAGCAAACCCCACCTCCCCACCACACCAAGAGAGAAGAAAAATAAAGAAAAAGAAATTTACACATATTCAACAGTGAAAGGACAAGAGAAATACAATCCCTAATCCTTCATGGATCATCAACACACCATATATATATATATATATATATATATCATTAAACCAACATTTCTTCTATAACCTGACCTGCCCTTCTCTTCCCTTCCCTTGCCGCTATGACTCTCTCCGTCATTCTCCCTGAGTCTCCGCCCCGAACCACGTCGTTTTTTCTCCCAAATAATATCACACATCTTGAGAGGAGTAAACGATCTCATTTCCTACAATATTAAAAACAACTCTTCCATGCAGAAAGGGCATCATTTATACTAATGCATATCTTTCCTATTAAATAAACAGAGGGTCACATTATAGATAGATGCACATAAACACAAGTAAAACAAAAAAGACGGAATTTTTTTTTGAGAAAAAAAAAAAAGTAAAAACCGCAGAACCTGCAGTGAACCAAAAGCACACATTTTTCTATAAAGATCCGGATACCTGGAGAGGTTGAGTGAATGAGTGAGTGGATAAAAGAAATACTCAAACACAGACACAGAAAGAGAAAAAAGAAAAGACGTAAACCTTGACGGTAACAGATATAATAACAATATATATATATATATATATATATATATATATATATATATATATAGGGTAAAAACGACGAAATAATGGCTATGCTCAGTTAATTCATTATTATTTTTTTTCTATTTGGCTTTTTCAAACCACCTGAATACAGAGAGACGTATATAAAACAGAAATTAAATATGTTTTTTTTTTTTTACATTCCTCTTTTAACTGCCTCGATTTTCACTGCGATAAAGTACATAGGCATGTTAACTAGAGAAAGGTGTCCACACTTCCATTGAAAGTAAGTAATTGAGAAGATACCACACAAACACACTGAAAGGCGAGGGGGGGAAAAAAAAGAAAAAACGACCACAGATCAAATCTTAAGTTTTTCACCAACTCTTTATTAACAAATAAAGAAAAAAAAAAAAAAAAAAAACCGCATAAAAAAGCAAAAACTTGTTTTCATCATCTAACCTTCTTTATTAATACCAGTTCTCGAAGTTTCTTTTTCTCATTTTTTTTCTTTTTATTCTTCTTATTCGTTCTTTTTTTTCCCCTTTTCCGTCTCCTCGGTCCTCACTGGCTATTTCATGTTGTACAGATGAGGAGAAACGTATAAATATTGGAAGTACGCACAAGAGAGGGAACAAGGAAGAGGTAGATGAAAAGCAGCTTAAAGAAAAACCCATCCACAGAAAAAGCAACATATATATATGAGAGAGAGGGAGTGAGGAAGAGAAAAAAAAAAAAGAAAAATGATTAATGTATTTCTTTTGTTTTCGTCCCTATCTTTCTTCCTCTTTTATCAACAGTTGCTTCTATAGTTACATCTCTAATAGGAACATTATCAAGGCTATTTTCATGTGTTCTTTTTTTTTCTTTGTTTCTGTTTTCAGTACTATCTGTTCGTCTGTTAACTCGTACGTATACGTTTATATTGCATGTTTATGGGTACCCATATTGTCAAAGAATCTATTGATGACAGTTTTTTTTTTTTTTTTTTCTTTCCATCTAACCCACGTTAGATCTCCTTACACTGGGCGAAGAACTATATGTATATAGAGTGTCTCTCTCTCTCTCTTCTTACTATCAATGAATGATAGTTGCAGAGATTAGGACTAATCAGCGTAGAGAACAGAACCAACGAGAGAGTACCATCGGGGCATCTTTCCACTACCACTTCCCAAACGCAACATGAGAAGTATCACCAAAACATTTTCACAGATGTTCTTTAATATTCGTATTACCAGTGTCAACAGTCCATTGTATCGAAGTTCATCAAAGAGTTGTAAAACTTCATACATTGTCAGGGATGATAAAAGCAATGCTCCAATAAAGAAGGTTCGTAGAAAACTTTGCTTTGTTAATACATTTCCAATTCGACCAAGGCACTCTACCCCACTTACAGTCCATACTAGAAGCAATAGGGAATTACTCACAGTGGCAAGAATGGTTAATGTACGTGGGAGATATAATCGATCCGATATAGATTGTATTCCAGGCATTTTACATACCGACATCTCTGAAAGTCGTTCAATACAGTGAACCACATCCCCACGGGCAGCACTTATCACACAATAGATACTTAACACTACGAAAAGAAACACAAATGGTATAAATAGCCTTAATCGCAAGGCCACACGCCAACCAAAAAGACGTGACCAACGAGTCATAGCATTTGAATCTGTATAAGCAGCATCATCTGATGGGATTCGTCCAATAATCCAATGTATCAATGAAGAAACACAGCTCATACATCTTCCACGATCTCGGCTACTTCTATTGGTTCTAGTGCTATTGGAGGCGGAACTTCCACCTAAGAAAGGAGTAGGAGTAGTAGTAGTAGCAGCAGCAGCAGCAGGAGCAGCAACAACAATAGTAGTACCAATACCCTCCGCATCCATATATCCACTACCACTACCACCAAATCCACTACTAGCACAACTTCCACTGCTATAACTGCGGCTAACATCATGTTCTCCCTCCCAATTGGCCTTTGGTATAGTTGCAACATCATATGCATTGCTATAACTATTATTATACATCTCTCGACCACCTAAAAAATCTCTTCCGGTTAGACCTTCATCCCATTCTAATGCTGCTTGACAGTTACTACGACATTCACTATCAAGGACGGAATAACTTTCCGGTACAGTAGCACCAAAGAGTGGCTGAGGTATACCTTTACCAGGAGTACTATTATTCCGAGTTACGGTATACCCATTTCCAACATTTAACATATTTGGGGATTGCTTATTGTAGAACTTTCCACCATTTCCCCGTTCTCTGGAATTATTTTGCCTGGGGTTTGAACGCACATCTTCTACTTCCCCTAAAGCAGAGTACATATCTTCATCTCTTACGAAATCATTGTCAAAATTAGATATCCCTTCACGTTGTTGTAAATAAGGTATGTGAAACCTATCATTGCTATGTGTAACTTCTACATTTTTAACCATTTCCACCATTTCTTTCTTCTTACTTCTGCGAGAACCCATACCTCTTGATGATTCCTTTATCTGCCTCTCAACTCGACTATTACTATTATTATTACGGGGTGCCGCCTGTTCAACCGTAACGGATGTCGATGATGGTGCTGCCGCTGGTGTGGACACCACAACGCAAAATAACACGACCGCCGCTGGCCGCACGAACTGCACAATAACGACGTTAAACACAAACTCAGGAACTAATCGCCATTCCTCTGCGGGGGCGAAGAGTCCCAACTGACCGAGGGCGGCGCAGCCAGCGGCCCAGAGGCCAAGCAACACCATAATAGTAACTTTCATCGCAACAAGTGGAGAAGCTAAAGGGTGATGACGGTCCTCGACGAGAATATGAATACGGGAGAAGCAGCCGACGGCGGTGAGGACCCACACAATGACGAAGACACACCCAATGACTGTATCCCGCAGGCTGCGCTTCTCATGAACCCCCACTTCAGAGTTCATCTTCCCGCACCTTCACAGAACCACCTTGTGAAAATCTTGTGTGAAGAAGAAAAACAAACAAACAAACAAACACAAACAGCAAAGAGAGGAAAAAGAAAAGAAAAGAAAAAAAAAGAAAAGAAAAAAAAGGAGGAGGAGAAGAATGGAGGAATGTGACTTTGCACAATTTTTGTCAGTCCTCCTCACTCACCCACTCACTCACTCACTCACTTGTTTCACTAATTGGCCTAATAACCAGAAACAGGATATGTTTCGGTCCGATCTTCCTAAAACCATAGAAAGAAGAAGAAAAAAAAAAACAAGAGAAAGAGAGAGAAAGGGAAAAGTGAAGGGAAATAATAATAATAAAAAAAAAAACAACAATAATACAAATTCGTTACCAACAAAAGAAGGAAAGGAAGAGAGACTCGCAAACACAGACAAAAAATAAATAAAAAAACAATACCTCTAGAAATATTCAGCCACCATTAGAGCAGAATACACATCCAGAGAAAAAAAAAGAAGGATTTCAATCTTCAAAACTCATGAAGCTCATCATCACTTTCAGTTTCACCTCCCGATCCTCCTATAATTAATACGTCTGCAAAGGCATTCACCACTGCATGCAATAACAGTCGTGTTGGTACTACTTGTACAGTCATTCCATTTAATTTCCTCAACGCGTCCATGAGTGCGAGTTCTGTGAATACTTTAGACATCTGTTCCAGTTGTTTCTCTAGAATTGTGGTTGATTCATCATCATTATGATCACCTGTTTTCCATTTTGATATTGTATGCTTTTGCTTCTGCAAAGATACCCCAGAAGGAACAGATGATGGTGATGGTGATAAGGCAGCTGGAGGCTGATACCCTGTGATTTCAGGGCTTTTAAATGTGTTTGGTGGTGCAGATTGTGCTGATGCACTCGACGTACACGAGGCAACGTCACTATTATTATTGTTATTATTATTGTTATTAGTATTATTAGTATTATTTGAATTTGGTAGACTTGATGCTTGTAGTTGACAAAAATAAGCATAATGTGTGACAAAAGGCCGTAATCGACGTAAGTTGCATTCTAGTAGACGCAAAAGAGTTTCTACATTCATACCTGTTTTCCCCCAAAGTAATGCAACTGTGTGATGAAACACAAATTGCATAAGCGCTTCAAAGGGAACAATACGTTCAGTGGCAATCAATCGTGCAGGAAACATAGTGGGATTATCAACATAGTTTTGTTTCGGATGATAAAATGAAGAAGAACCATTAGAGCGTGGTAATGAACCTGTAGAGAGTGATAAGAACTCAGTTTCAGTAGGTCGAAAAGATTTAGGTGTAAAAACTGCTCTTTTATGGTATCGTTGGTTTGCTCGCAGAGTACGTGATGGTTGGCCTTGATCTTGTTGTCCATCAGATGTTTTGTTTTCACCAGACCCAGCTGAAATGTTACTAACGCGAATAGCAGCTGCTGCCGCTGTTGCCGCAGCCATTTCACGTCGTTGTTCTGCTATCTTTACAGCACTTTCCTGTAATGCTTGACGTTGTTTTAATGCTTCTATAAGACGATTTTCAATATTATCACGATTTTCAGCTAACCAAAGACGTGCTTCCAATGGTATACTTTCAGGTGTGAGAGCTGTAATTTTATCTCCATTCATTCCCACCTGCTTGGAGTTACCTCCAGACATTGCACCTGAGATGGAGGAGGTTGTACCACATTTTGTTCCTATACTACTCCTCACATTCCGTCGCGCTGTATCATCATAGTTTTGTGTGAGAGAACGATAGAGTTTCACTGGTGAACTCTCCTCCAGTGGTACTACTGGTGTTGTAAAGGTATCCGAGTGTGTAAACCATGGCCGTTGATCAGCGAGGAGACTACAACATTCGGGATCTATCTGGCGAGATCCATGCAACGCTCGCCGTGCTGCCGCCTCAGCCACTGCAGGACCAAGAAATGGAAAGGCCAGTCGAATAGGAGTGGCTCCAGCACGCCATGCTTGTGGGGCAGAAGCCAATTCCTCACACATTGGACAAGCACTTCCCCACGCACAGTAAACTACAAAATGGGGAATTTCACACGTGGCACTTGAAAGAGGTGCTGAAAAGGTTGAGGTCATCCCATTTGTATTTACTGTCTGTGTGGAATCTACGGCTATCTCATCACTGCTGAAAAATGGTGTACCAAACCCACTACCACGACTATTCGCACTACCACAATTAGCTCCTTTAGAGGCCCGCAGTCCTTCAAGCAGCATCACACCCACCAGAGAGGCTGGAGCAATTGGTGGAGTGGGAGTCGTTGCAGGAGCAACAGTAGTAGTATTAGTATTAGTCCCTGCCGTACTATTATTATTATTATTATTATTATTATTATTATTACCAGTAGTAGTAGTAGTGGTAACAGTTTTTGCTGCCATCTTTGTGATATCCATAGGCACCTGCCATGCTGTTGGAAGAACGTTGCTGTGTGTAAAGACGACTGTCAGTGCTGTGTCAATAGCGATGGCACCGCAGAGACGGAGAAACTCAAGTGCCTCTACAACTGGCGTGTCAGTGTCGGGAGTGGTGTTGATCTCATCTGCTGTAACATCGATAGTTTGCATCTCATCTACCCGTCCCCATCCCACACGGTGAAATGTATTCGTACTACTTCCACTAGTATTTGTATTATGAGTGCCTAAGGTTTGTTGTTGTTGTTGTTGTTGTTGTTGTTTGCTGGATTGACGGAATTGAAGGGCATCGGCGATGGAGCGTTCTAATGCGCGGTGGAGTTCACCAATACGCCAGGGAAGTGAAAGACTCGCAAGTGCGGCACGTATGGCTGTGAGTGGTAGTAACTGCGATGCTCGTCGGCCGACCGCCTCTGCGTATGGTTTTGTTAATATTTCTACAAAGTTTGGCTGTTTAAGTGTGACAATATAGTTTGGGTTCTGCTTAACATATGTAGAAGAGAGACGGAGTGGGGCTCCACGGCTTCCTAAAATAGATGTCAATGGCAAACTATACAAACCACGCACCACAAGTTCTGTTGGAGCTCCTACTCCGGTAATTTTCATATTCCCAATGGTATTGTTATTATTATTATTATTATTATTATTATTATTATTATTATTATTATTATTACTGTTATTCTTGTTGTTTCTATTCCCACTGGATCCACGCTGGGAATAAAGCAAAGACGCAATAGGTGAGGAACGTAGAGGTGGTACGATATCTACATCACCCTCTTCACAAGTTATAATACGCTGAGTGAGAAGAGCAATTTCGGTACATAGAGACAATTTATTATCTTGCAGGAATTTAGCGAACATCTGTGCGGAGGATGGGAGACCACCACCACCACCACTACTACTACTAACCCCACATCCTGTACTCCCTGTTGGATCAGATCTTTCTCGATATTTCAACTCCCCATAGTCATTACCGCTGCTACTGATATTATTATGATTATGATTATCGTTACTACTGCTACTACTAATACTACTACTTCTACCACTACTGTTGCCTCTGTTACCATCAATCTCCCATGCATATAAACGCCGCTCCATACGCATAACTTGATCAGTAACATACATTGAACGTAATTCTTCCCGTACTAAAACGTTCATAAATACCTGTACAAAATTTGCAATAGCGTTATCTTCTCGGTCAGGTTGATTCATCGCAACAACAAGTAACACATCTTGTGAAAGACGTACTGTAGACGCCTTATCTTCATCATCTTCCTTCAATTGTGAGGTATCGCGCCGCATAATGTTATCATCAAGATTGTTATCATTATTACTCTCATGGGAATGCCTTGATTCTGGTAGTGGAGGCAACTGCTGGCGTGACTTGGTGGAACTCGGCAGTAATGGATAAATAAGAAATGTACCACCAGCAATGTGAATAGTCGTACACCGTGAGAAACTCGCACGGAGAAGATGTAAAAGAACTGTCGTTTGTACACCCACACATGTATCTGCAAAACCCCGTGTTTCACTATTATCTTTGTTACTATTGCAGTAATTGTTATCATGACCCTGACGTCCTCCTCCTCCTCCTCCTGTTGATGTTGTCGTTGTTGTTGTTTTTGTGTTTGAAGAAGAAGTTGGCATCCCACGCAATGCCCGTGTGGTGTCGTTATCGACATCATTTGAGGAATTATTCCCTTTTACAGTCTGTGCTGGGCGTTTCACTGTACGTGGCTTGTGCCGCACACCCACACCACTACCACTCACAGTTGCTATTGCATTAGAAGTTTGTTGTTGTTGTTGTTGTTGTTGTTGTTGTTCCTTTGTTAGTAGTGGTGTATCATTACTACGATTGGTCGCCGTGTCGGGACTCACTTGTTTTGTAAATCCCCCTGTTGTTGTTGTTGTTGTTGTTGATGATGATAATGCTGTTGTGTTTGTGGGGAGATTGGATGTGGTCGCGTTGTGGATATCGATAGTAAACGGGTTGTACAGTGGATAGCGAAATAACAGCTTCTCTTGCGCAAAAAGAAAAATAACGACGGCCCTTTCAGGCATTTTCGATAATCCTTTACACCCCTATGAAATGTAAAGAAAGAAAAAGAAATAGAAAAGAAATAAAAATAATAGAAATAAAATGAAGAGGAAGAAAAAAAAAAAGATCCTATTACCTTTTTTGTTTTATTCATTCCGCGATACTCCCGTACAACAAGATCCCATCACAGCAGGTAGACACACACACACACACATCATATATATATATATATATATATATACAGTGAAAAGGTAAAAGAAAAGAAAAAAACAACAACTATTTAAATATCTGCATATAAATGACAGATACATTCATACCAATAGGAAGCATAGGAACAACAGAACCCTATGTCCACAAACGCAACGAAAAAGAAAAAAAAGAAAAGAAAATGAACAAAGCAATGGAATGCAAGAATCACAGATGAATAGAGAAAGAGAGTGACAAGGCAAGAAAGTGATAGAGCATATAAAGTAAAACAAAAAAAACAATAGCAATTCAATAATTCCACCAACACAGATATACACACACACACACAACAAAAAAGTAGTGTTTTTTTTCACTCACTTACTCATTCATTCACTCACAGACTTATGATTTCATCTCTGCTATCTTCTCATTAAGGCGCCTGAGTACCTCCTCTGGCTCCTTTGTGTTACTGTGTAGCCACTCCGCGGCGGTATCAGAGACTTGCTTGAACTTTTGTGTATGTTCAACAATTCGTTTGAGTTGCACTGTCAACATGTTCGTTTTCTCTTTATCTTGTTGTCGCTGCTCGTGCAGAGCCGCCTGTTCCCGTTCAGCACTGCGCAGGGCTTCTCCTAACGAGACCACCTTTGCGTGATATTGTTCCTTTTCAGCGTTGTGGGCCACTTCAGCTTGACGGGTGGCGAGCAACACCCGCTGCATATCATCATTCTTGCTGTTTAGTAGTTCTCGCAGACCTCGTAGTTGTTGCTGCATTTCTTTTAATACTTCATTGCTCACCACTGTAGACTGCCCGCCGTATGCAGCGTCATTATTATTATTATTATTATTCTTATTATTATTATCATCATTATCATTATCATCGACTGTTGACTCATCGTCGTTGAGACCTTCTCCAACTGCATTCACTTCATCACGAGGTCGTTTACGACTACCACCTCCTGCGATATTGTTATCATGCGGATTAGTAGTGGAAGAGACACCTGTTGTTTGTTCGGTGGAATGAGTGGAATTTCTTTCTCCCACAACTTCTGCTGTAAAACGGCGAATATACTCCACATTTCGTGCAATCATCTCTGCATCCATTGCCGTTATCGCTGAGGTTGTTGTGTGAGTCTGTGTGGTTAAACACGATCGTAGAAACACGGTGTGCTCCTCTGCGGTAAAGGACTCATTCGATACGTATTTGGCCCCAATGAGATCCGTCACTTCACCAAAGTTAATCTGAAGTAACCAATCCGAGAGATGTTCACCCACTGTGGGATCCACTGATGATGTTGTTGTTGATATTTCTGATTTTGTACGAGGACGCGGTAAAACTGCCACTATTTTTCCAATGCGGTAATAGGATTGTTTTTGTTTTTGTTGTTCTTCTTCTTGTTGTTCTTTTTGCTTCTCTGGAGAACTGCTCAATCGCATATATTTATTCCCATGAATCAACAATGCTTGTTTGTTTTTCGGAATAGACACACGCACTAATGTATGCTGCATTAATGAACACACCTGTGCGGCTGTGAGAAGCATACACCACTGCGGCAACATATCATGAATACTTCTTCTCATCCCCGTAGTAGTATTAGTATTAGTAGTATTGATGTTCTTATCATTGTTAAGATGCTTCTCTGCCTCTAGTTCTCTTTTAGCGGCTGAGGAAAGATTAAGAAGTTCATGAATCTCATCTCGCTTCAGTTGACACTGGGCTGCCAATGTAAAGTTTGTAGACATCCTTTTCTACTGCAGAATAATGTTTCTTTCTCTCTTTCGTTCTTTTCTTTTCTTTTATTATTTTTTTCTTTTCTGTTTTTTTTTTTTTTTTTTT